CCCTCCTCCGCCTGGCGCCTTAGGGAAGGGGCTCGCAGCTGCTGCAGCTCCTGCTGTACACACGCGGGAGCGGTGGCAGGGGGACAGCCCATTGCCTGCCGAAATGCGACCTGGGTTTGAGAAAATAAACAACAATTGAATACGTCGGGGGAGCGGGGGCTGGCGGGGAGAAATAACAGCTCAAGAGACAAAGACCTGTCTTCAAGGGGGAGTGGTGAAGCCCCGGGATCCTTTGCACGATGTGCTTAGTCTAAAAACAGTTACAGAGGCCTTTAACCACTCGATGCGATGTTAGCTTACGGTGTTGCGCAAGAACAATTTTAATTTTTGGTTGGTAAGATTGCTTTGTGTTGCCTTTTTTACTGGGTAATTTTTATATATTTTTCTTTTTATTTTTTTTTTTTAATTCGTTAGTGACAGGGACTGAAGAAGAAAAGTCCTCACATAAGATTTACAAAGTAGGATGAGTTTTGGAGTTTGGAGAACAGAATGTTTAGTGTATTCCAAAAGTGCTTTTAAAACTGGATGAATAAAACAACTCTGCTAGGTAATGACATTAAAACGGACATACGGCATTTTTTCCATGTTAAGTAATCTCTGAGATCTACATTCACTGGTCTCTTCCTGGCCTTAGAGAATGCTTACGCATGCACTTTGTTTAACTTCACTTCATTTTACTTCAATAGGATTTAAGCAGGTGCTTAAAGCTGAGAAAGTAGTCAAAGTCGGATCAGAACAGAAATAAATCTTGGCATGGGTTTATTTTTTTTTTTCCAATGGGAATTGGCTCAAATGGCAGAAAAGCCTCCTACTTAATAGTCAGTAAAAACTCTAACATACAACACAAGGTTGATAACGTTGGTACCTTACCAGCACCTATTCAAAAGATGTAAAGCAAGGACAGAATACTACCTTTGACTGGGAAAAGTGGCATTTGCAGTGAGACGTAGCAGGAATTTGCTCTTATAAACTGTACAGCTGCAACCTGGAGGCAAATAAGGCCACTCATTCACGCAGATTCTGCCAATTTATAATTGCGCTGGCAGTTGCTGTATTTCACAAGTGATTTTAGAAAAATTAACATCCTTCTCTCCAGCAAATTAGGATTAGCCTTCAAAACTACCTAAGCAATTGAACTTGATTTTTTATTCACTTTTTTACTACAACTGCTCTCACAAATCATTAGAGCATCTTGGAAAATTCTGTTGAGGAAATTCCCAACCTTCCTCTTCCTCCTCCTTTGCTATATTCTCCCCTTTCCAAAAGTGTCCATACCTACACAACTGAGTTCTCGCATTATTTGCTTTTAGCCTGTGAAGTTGCTGAATATAGGCTCCTGCCTGACTCCTGCGTTCCACAGCCCCTATTAGGGGATGCTACAGCTACTGCTCTACTTCAGTAAAGTACAGAGCTGGACCGTGGAAAGGATCATGCAGGGTTTGTTGCTTTAGCAGGGTATGTGTTTTCACACTTTCCAGCTTGATTTTCTTTCTTCTGCCAATGCACTCATTGAACAAGACAAGGTCCAAAAGAGAAAAAGGAGAGGGAAAGTGACATTTTTGAGTTTGTCATGGGTAAAGTTACTTTGGTCACATCAGGATTTGAAAAAGGAAGATGCAATGTGAGTTGTGAGATGTCATATATTATAAATGTCTCTGCACAGGGCAGAAATTACTCCTTCAGTTATGATGTTCTGGTGAGTGCTGAACTAATATTTTTTTTGAACAATAAAGAACCATAACAGCAGAACCTGTGTGGATGCTAAACATCTCTGCTATCTGCCACTCAGGAAACTATATTATGTTCCTGTCAACTATTTTCTTACATGATTTTACTGGTTAGAAGATGTTTCTAAATTTAAAACACTAGAGTAGCAGTTACCTGGTATCACAAGTGACAGCTGTAACATAAGGTGTACCATCTCTTTTTGTTGCACAAGATAAATTTTAAAAGTTTTTAGCACACTGTATTTTAGGTGGATTGCACTTTACAGCACTTTCCTCCTATATAGTTTCCTTTATAAAAAGGTTTTTTGCACTACTTAATTATGGGGTTTTTTAGGATTTCCTAAAAAGCTTTACCTTGTGGACAAACAAGGATACAAATCCGGGGCACTTCTATGGATTAACAGTTCTGCTATGACCTTACCTGTCTGTCATAACCTGATTATTTGCATTGTGTAGGAATGCATTAATAAAGACAGGAGAGGCTGTTGTGTCTGTGAGCTCCTGTTTATTTTGAAAGGCTTTCCCAGTTCCAACTCTTATCTCCCACAACATCAGTTTGGACTCAAGCCACTGCTACACACACACTCAGGGTACCTGGATTCATGGGTAAGAACATGGTATGTGCCATGGTTCAACTCGTTGCTCCGCAGCCTGGTGGCACTGCAAACCCAGAATTGTAAGTCAAGTTTGACAGGCCTATGCACATTTCTAGTCTGTTGGCTGTTAGGAGGACAACAGAACAACTGCTTAGAGAAAAATAGATCTCTGCATGAAATACTTGTCTGCAAGTCTATGAATTAAATTGGCAAAAGATTTAACTTTCAAGATTCAGGGTTTGGGAGGGTGTCCTCCCCTCCCCCTCCTCCTCCCCTCCCCTCCCCTCTCCTATTTTCTAATGAATTTTATTTGCAATCTTTCATTTAAGTTCCTAGGGCTGCAGTTCCGACAGGTACATGACCTATGCCGTTGAGCTAGGCTCAAACCATGAGCTTACTAAGCTAAATCTTGAAAATGGCCAGCTGCCTATGTTTGCCGGTGCTCAGCTTCTCTGAATATGTCCAACTGCAAACAGCAACGGGTGATGCTTGCAGCTATCCACATACAATCATCGCAGGACTGCCCCTAGATGGATACCTCCCAAACACAAACACAATCCAGCCAGATTCCTGC